TAAGTATGCCTCTCTTAATAGATGGTAACCCTTTAAAATAGTGCAAATGCCCAGCCATGAGGGTTTCCGATTCCCTTGGAAGGGTAGCGAGCTGCACCTTGCCGTGCTCTCCCACCCACGCTCGACACTCCGGGCACCACTTACCTCTCATAACGCACCACTTACCTCTCCAAACCCGCAAGGCTCTCCCACTGCCCAGAGGGTGCACGCGAAGGTCACGCTGTTCTTCCCTCAATTTCTATTTGGCAAGCCCTATCTGAGACTATCGGCCCTCACCTCCACTGTGAGACCTTATCTGGCTTTTTCCAGGCAAGGGAAGGAACCCCGGTCTTCTCCCTAGCCTAGCGCTCCCATTCTTCACAGGGGAAAAGATCTAAGGCCTGATCGCCAGCACCACGACCAGCCCATAATGACCCGAAAATAAATGCCTGTACAGGTTGCTTTGGAAAGCGATTCGGCAATATATTAAGAGCAATGAAAATGTCCCTATCCTGTTGACCCAGTAAGGATCCTGGAAAAAGAATCCTCCCGGAAACAGGAAGCCATATATTTGGTCGTTTTGGTTTGAGCATTATTTTAATGCTGCAAAACTAGGCAAGCTGAAATCGCTAGCAATTGAATGATTATTTTACACAGTAACATAACAATATTACTCTGCTATGAAAAGCATATTATATGGACTATAGCATCTGACAAATAATGTAGGAGGCACCTGAAGTAGCAAAGGCTGAACATAAAATTACACGTTCATTCACCTTGACTAAAATTATGTAAATTAAGTGTGCAGTGAAAAAAAAAACTTTCTCCCCTTTTCGTAAGGAACGAGGGCGATGATTTTAGGTTTGAGCACTGGGATATTTTTTCCCTTCTTTCAATTCTATTATCGTTACTCTAAACTTTTGAACAGGGTGCAGAGGTTGGAAGCCCCACTGAGAAGACTCTCAGCATTGTTTATACGATTTCAAATCATAATTATTTTCAGCTGGAGGGACGTATTTTGCACCTCGACGGTGGAGTAGGGGCCAGGGAGAGGGAGATGAGTTTCCCGGGGTCTTTCGGAACAAAGCCAGAGGCGTCGAGTGCACCTGGACCGAGGAAGGGGCCCCTCGCCCGCTGCCCACCTCCCCATCACTGGCGACCGCAGCCCGCCTGGGCGGAGCTGAATGCCGGCTGGCCTGGACCGATCTCCGGGGATCGGTCCCTTTAGACCGGCTTCCCCAGCCTGCACGGCCCCACCTGGACCAGCAGATCTGCCGACCGGATCTAAAGACTCGGGAGAAACCCGGGAAAGGCGCACGACTGCGGGCCGAGAGCCGGCGGCGCTTTGTTCGGGCGGCGGGCGGCCTCCGGGTTTCCGGCCCCGCCCCTTCCCCCTCTCGGCCACCCCGGCTCCTGCTCCCGGGCTCCGCGGACCCGGTTTTCTCCGCTTCTCTCTCCTTCCCACCGCCTCAGTCCCCGCTCAGCTCTTTCCCTTTCTGCCATCTTCACTCTTGCCCCCCCGCCCCCCATCACCACGACCCCCTGACCGGCCTCCACCACGATTTCCACCACCACCGTCACCCCGAGGACTGGCCAACTTTGCCCCGACAAGCGGACTCTTCAGGAGAGTTCCCCCGCGGAGAAGCAGAGCGGCCCAGTCCAGAGAGGCTGGCTGCTTTCGTGGAGATCAAGACGGACGCCTGAGCATCCTGGCTCCCGCGCTCCCGACCGCGCCTGCCTCGCCCCTGGGAGAGGGCAGGACAAAGGCCGAGGCCGGGGAAGGGAAAAGCAGGACCCTGGGGAAGGAGTGACCGTGGGTGGGGACACTGGAGATGGCTACCCGGCGGGTCACCTCCACCAAGTGACGCTGAGAGCCATCCGTGGTCTGCTTATCTATCAACGCCAGAATTCCAGAGTGGAGCACCCACTCCGCACCTTGCGATATTCCCACGATTGTTCCCCATCAGTATCGAGGAGCTCTTTCAAGAGAGCGAAGTAGTATATGAACACATTCTCATCCTCTTAAAAAACCACTTAAAGTCAGAGGCTCACAGGACACACACCCCTGCCACACTCACTTCTTTCGGGGCAGCGCTGTCCCTCCTGCTCTCCCTTAATACATTTCAGGCTTCACAGAAGTGTGGGCTGTACGTGGTGGTTATCTCTGCACACTTGGCCTGACACTCCGCAATCGCCCCGCAGCAAAGGCGACGGAAATCTTCCGCGGGGAAGGACAGAGCCCCGCAAGAAATTTCTTAACACAGTTCCGCACAGTTTGTCGAACTGTTGGCGTAAGAGATTTTCTTCCCTTGCCAGAAAAGGGGGAAAAGAAAAAAAAAAATTTTTTTTTTAAAGTAAGGGAAAGGACTTCCCCCGCGGCTCAGTTGTAAGGAATCTGCCTGCGAATGCATAAGACACCGGTTGGATCCCTGATCCCGGAAGATCCCACCTGCCGTGGAGCGACTGAGTCCTTGTTCCACAACGACTCAGCCAGCGCTCTAGAGCCCCGGAGCCGCAACTGCCGAGCCCACCTGCCACAAAAAGTGAAGCCTGTGTTCCCTAAAGCCCGTGCTCCCCCAACAAGAGAAGTCACCGCGACCAGAAGCCCGAGCACCACCAGAGAGTAGCCCCCACTCCCTGCAACTAGAGAAAAGCCTGAGCAGCAAGGAAGACCCAACACAGCCAAAAATAAATATTTTTTTGAAAAAAATTAAGGGAGAGAAATGGGATTAAAGTTTAAAGGAACAGATCTAAGAGAAAAGTAGGCTAATCCTGTTCCACAGACACGTGCGCGCACAGAGAACTCAGATACATTTGCTCTGTGTTCATTGACGCTGTCTCCGGCGGGTGTCTGGGTTCACCTCCCCGCCTTCACCTCTCCGCCGGCTCGTTCCCCGAGGCCCGGCCGCACACCACGGGGTGGGGGTCGGGAGGAGCTAGTCCAGCGGCCGCCCTAGAATGAGGCCAGCCCGCGGAAGGCTGTCCAGCCCCTCCGCGCTCCGACCTCAGCTTCCCGGTCTAGTCGGCCCGCGTGCGCAGTCCCCGCCCGCTGCCGTTCCCGCGCCCGGGCCGGAGCGCGCCTCTGCCGAGGACCTTGACCTCCCACGGACCTCGTCGCCTCACTTAGCTCTCTCTGACCTGCTTTTGAACCCGCTAATCCTGTCCTGAACTCTCGCCCAGCGGCGATCCCTCGCCCCGGCCCCGACGCGCTAAATCCCGCTGACCCAGCCGCCCAGCCGTCACTCTCTGCTTGCCCGGCTTTGAAGCGCGCCAAGGGCTGCGAGCCTCCGATCGTCTGGGGCGGTGATGCGCGGGCCACCACCGCCCCGCATCGCTGGCACCCACGCTTACGCGCCCTCTGAACGCCACGGCCCGGTGTCGCGAGCATTTTTCCCCCTTCTCTTGCTTTCCCCTGTTTCCTCTTAGATTAATTCGTTTTTTTGTTTTGTTTTGTTTTTTAAAGAAATCTACCAGACTCACAAAGATCAAAATCTCAGGTAACACCCCATACTGGCGACGCTGTAGGGAAGCCGGCACGTTCACAAGAGGCTGGCAAGCAGAGAGGGCACAGAAAGGGTAAGGCGGACCTGGCTGCCAGGAGTAAGCGCCAAGGCACGGGCGAGGGCAGAAAAGGCAGGGTCTAGAACAGAGGACAGAGTGACTTCATTCCTATTTTAAGGGGAAGGAAGGAAGGGTTGATATTTGTCCCACACGGGGCTACAACTTGGGGCTTCGAACAGGGGTCTGGAAGACACCTGCTTGGCACTTTATAATCTTTTGTGCTGTTTTGAATTTTTTCCCCCTCAGATTCATGTTTTCCTTTTAGGGAAAAAAATAGAACTAATTGTTTAAAGAGTTAATGAAATTAGTGCACATCGTAAGTGCTGGCAAACCAAGGTGTGGGTCCGCATGTTTGGGGGTTTTGTTTGTATGCTTATTTGTTGTTTTGTCAGCCAACTGAACCTAACAGGAGGCAATGCGTTCCCTCTTTGGCCCTCCGTTTACTGCAGTTGGGCCGCTGAGGCTGTGCTGAGTCTCTTTAAGGAGAGTTATTTTCAGAGAGGGTTCTGTAGCCAGGAAAACAAATCTGTGGTTAGTCGCGCTGGCATACCCATCTCTGTGAACCACCAGGTGGACTGGCCCTGCAAATCAAACTCCAAGGTCCCCTACCTTGAGTTCGGGGACTTGGCTCTATTTGCTTCACAACTGTTCGCCAATACCTTGCACCATACCAGCATATAGTAGTAGCTCAGTAAATAGTCGTTGAATGAAGATACTCCAAAGAGTGTGACAGCAGCTCTCGGAAACTGTTCTTAGTACAAATTCCTGACGACATCTGGGAGTAGGGGAACAGGCTCCCTAAGGGACAGTCACGGGATCACGAGAGAATCTTGGCGAGTCGTCAGGACATTGCCAGCATCCCCCCCCCCCCCCCCAACCCCAGCTCCAAGAATCCAATACCCACTGCCAGGCAGTTCCTATGTCCTGGCCCTGAGTCAGGTGATGGAGAATTCTAGCCTCCCCCTACCTCTCTGCCCAGTAAAGAATCTGCCTGTAATGCTGGAGACATGGGTTCAATCCCTGGGTTGGGAAGATCCCCTGGAGAAGGAAATGGCAACCCATTCCAGTATTCTTGCCTGGAGAATTCCATGCACAGAGGAGTCTGGCAGGCTACAGTCCATTGAGTCGCAAAAGAGTCAGACTGAACTTGGCGACCAAACAACAAAACAATCCCTGGACCTAAGTGATCCTGTCTTTCACGGCACTCCTGACTGGACCCAACCCGACCCAAAGAGCAAGGAAGCCTTGGGCTCAAAAGGGAGGGGAGACTCCAGAACCAGGGTCACCACTGATGGGGTGTCAGCAGCACTGTGCTTCCTTGCTTTCCTACCAAGCTCAGCCTGGAACCCCGCCTGCTGGTAATGCTGATCACAAATGACCACTCTGGGGTACAACTTGACCCAAGATGCTCTGCTATCCCTGTGCTGGGAACTGGGAGCTGGGGTGGTTGATGACCTTGAATGTGCACCGTGGTGGAGGGCACAGTCAAGACAGAAAGGAGCCGCGTCAAGTCGGTAAGTCACTGCCAACCAGCCAGACACACGAGGCACAGACTCGGGGAGGGAAGACAGCAGCTGCCCTTGATGAAAGCAGGGAAACAAAATGCTTTCAAACCTATTCTAACAACAACATTTAAGAAGTTGTTTTTCTGGGTACGTTCTAATTGTGGCATCCCACAAGTTGGAAAGATGTCAAAAGATATAAAAGGGAGCCCTCTGGCTGCCAGCACACTCTCCAAGGCACACCTCGTTGGAAATGCCTGGGGAAGGGTGAAGGGCCTGAATCCTGCCCACCATGAAGCGCCTGCCTCTGGGCAGGACTCTGAATCTTCAGTTCAGGCTACTGTTCCTCGCATCCTTGATTCCTTCTTCCCTGGGAAAGGCCACCAGGAGGCTGGTGATCCACAGAATCTGTCTTGGGAGCTAAGACATGGCACGACTGGAACTCTAAATACGTAAAGCTCAGTAGTGTGGGCACCAGGATCCCCAGCGCTCTCAGCTTTAACTCTTAAATGATACAAGCATCAGTATTGTTTCCTCCAGGACCCACAGAGTGCCAGATTCTGGATAAAGTGCTCACTTGCATTAGATGACTCCTCATAGCAGCTGCAGGAGGTTAGTACTAATGTTATCCCCATCTAAGAGATGAGGACACTGAAGCACAGTGAGGTGAATCAACCCATTAGGAACTAGTCTCAGTAGAGCCAGGATTCCAGCCCTGCCTAGCAGAGAGCCAGGCTCTGAATCTTTACCTCAGAGTCTGTAACTCCTACAAGCCTCCCAGTCCTGCTTGAGCCTCCCCTCTTTAGACAGAAGTGGAAAGGATGCATCCAGAAGGAAATGGATTCAGTGGGGACACACAGTCAATGGAACCCTCTTCCCTGAGCTTCACCAGTTTCCCCCATCTGCTCTCAGAAAAATTCCTCTTTCTTCTGGCCAAGCAGGGAACCCTGAGCTAGGGGAGCCCCCACATTCTCACACAGGTAAAATGAAAACAATCAGATGTCTATCAGTAATGAGTGGATAAACAAATGTAGCATAACCATACAATGGAATGTTATTTGACCATTTAAAAAAATGAAGTTCTGATACATGCTACAACATGAATGAAATCATTAAGTGAAAGAAGCCAGACTCAAGATCATGTATTATATGATTCCATATATATGAAAGTTCCATAATAGCTAAATCCATAGAAACAAAAAGTAGATTTGTGGTTTCTTAGGGCTGAGGCGAGGATGGGACGTTGTGGGTAACAGTTAAAGGGTACAAGTTTCTTTTCTTTTTTTTTTTTTTCATTTTTAAACTGAGATATAATTGACATATATTTGTTTCAGGTATAAAGACATGGTTCCATATTTGTATATATTGCAAAATGATCACCACATAAGTGTAGTTAACATCCATCATCACATATGGGTACAACTTTTTTCTTAGGATGGAAACTTTTAAGGTCGACTCTTAGGAACTTTCAAATATACAATACAGCTTTATTAATTATATATAAGGACTCCCCCCGTGGCTCAGCGGTAAAGAATCTGCCTGTGATGCAGGAGATGCATTCTGTCCCTGGATTGGGAAGATCCCCTAAGGAGGAAATGGCAATTCACTCCAGTATTCTTGCCAGGAGATCCCACGGACAGAGGAACCTGGCAGGCTACAATCCATAGTCCACAGGGTTGCAAAAAGTCAGACACAACTAAGCACATTATTAATTATAACCACCAACAAGTTTCTTTCTGAGGTGGTAAAAATATTCTAAAATTTACTGTGGTGATGGCTACATTGTATAGCTGTGCCTAAACTATGTATTTTGGTATACCTGTGAATGTACAAAAACCATTGAATTGTAAATGTATTGATGACATATTGATTATATCTCAATAAAGCTATCATTGAGAAACAGGAAAAACAAAATAAAACATACAGGGTTCTGGGCGGTAAGTCCACTGTCCACATCAGTTGAGGCTCTGCTCTTTCAAAGCCTGCATCCTCCAACTCTAGATTTCCTCCAGTCTCCACGGAGGCTAAGGCTTCCTGCGAGGGTGCCTCTCAATCCAAAAGCACCTCCCCAGCTGCTGTGCTGGGGGATGGAAACCTTGAAACTCTGGCCCAGGGAGTACTTATTTATCTGTGTTTAAGGGGGAGCCTGGTGCTCAGTGTGAAGGAAGAGTAAAGAGAAGAGATTTTTGCCTTGGCACAGCCCCGAGATCCAGCACCCAGGTTCGAATCCACTGTTTGATCTTGGTCTCTGTTTCCTTCTCTTCAAAATAGAGCATCCGAGTCACCAAGCTACGAGTTGTGACTATTTCATGAAAGTATAAATTCTAGCACACCTTCAGAAGTTTAGCCGCTTGTCCCTTGCTAGAAAACAAATGAAGGTGCAATCATCTTAGGGGATGATCCATATAAAATCAGGATGCAGTAGTAGGAGTGAAGGGATTTTTTAGGAAAGAAGTTTTTTGTTTTGATTTTAGAAGATTCTCTCAAGTCTCTGGTGTCTTTTCATTGATTTTAACTCCGAGAGCATGTCAGGATCCTAATTTCCAAAGACAGACAAGAAGAAGAGGCAGGGGAGGAGTGAAGAGAAGAGGGAAAATAAGGGCTCTGGAGAGGGGGACCAGGTGGGAGGGAGGATGAAGAGGGGATGGAGGGAGATTGCTGTGGTCCAGAGGCTGGCCTGGTGGGGAGGAGAGCAGTGCAAGGAGCGATGACCCAGAGAGGGAAGAACGCTGGAGAACCTGAAGGAGAAAAGAAGCAAATGGAGAAGGAAAAGGCTGCAAAACCTTCAGGTTGGGGGCAGGGAGCAAGGAAGAGTCACAGAGAAATATCTGGGGAAGAGATGCAGGAAGTCAAGTAACCATTCTTGGTGGAATCTGTCCGGAAGAAAGCAGATGGGAAGAGAAGACCCCCAAATCCAGTTTCCTATCCTAGAACCTCGAGGCACCCATCCAGTCCTACCAGGTCCCCTCCCTCACCCCTGGGTGGCCTTACCCAAGAGAACCCTGAGTCTTACCAGTGGGGGAGTTTTCAGATCAAGTTGGACACTTCAGGTTGGGTCCAGCTGTCCCCTGTCCAGGCCTGTTCACCCTCTCTGATCCCCTCCACAAAACTGCCCCCAGCACTGCTAACTCCCCTCTCCCACTTCACCAGAGGTCTTGGCAGAAACAACCATTTCTTACTCCCTGACCTGCTACTAGGGCTTCCCCATTGGCTCAGATGGGGAAGAATCCGCCTGCAATGCGGGAGACCTGGGTTGATCACTGGGTCAGGAAGACCCCCTGGAGGAGGACATGGCAACCCACTCCAGTATTCTTGCCTGGAGAATCCCATGGACAGAAGAGCCTTTGCGAAATGGGCTCAGACATGACTGAGCGACTAAGCATGGCACAGATCTGCAACAGAAAGACTAACCCAGACCTTTCCTCCTGCCTTTCTCTCAGCCGGCAGGCAACACCTGCTTCCCCCACTCTTGGCCCAGTTCAGTGGTTTACAAGAATGCTTCACCTGGAAAACTTTCAAATATAGGGAGCCCTCAGGGAACCAGATTTTAAGCCATTTGGTCCGTGGCCAAGCACAAGTTTGCCTAAGTTTTCCAGGTAATTTAATACAGGACAGGTGTGGAGAACTCCTCTGCCTCCTCCCCTAAGCCTTCTTGGCCCTGGGCCAAGGCCTTCTTCAAGGCAGGAGCTCCCTGCTGGCACCGAACTGCCCTTCACGGTAGGTATCTGATGAGGGTCACTCCAGGGGGCCCTGCTTACATTCTGGCCAAACACACAGCTCCCCTAGAGCAGCTTTCCCAAATAGAACCCTGGACTCACAGGCTCGGGATGGGCATCAGTGAGATATACCAGGACTGGGGTGGGTGGAAGATCCTGATGGCCCTGGAGCTCAGCAGCCTGGCTGGGGTCCCTGCCCAAGCAGAGGAGAGGACAGAGAGAAGTAGGACAGTGCTATCTTAAGGTAGGGGAGGGCCCAGGCTGTGCCTAGGAGGTGTTTTCAGGAGTGCAGACCATACCCCAGGACTCCAAACTGGATGAGGCAGGGGTAGGGAAAAGGATTCAGCAGCCACCCAAGTGGCCTGGAACTGGCAGCAACCTGGTGCCAGGAAGAAAAATGCCAGTTGTCTGGACAGGTGCCCCCAGAAGGTGGTGCAGCAGCTGGAATCTCCCCCACCTCACCTGTACTTCACCCCAGCCCAGCCCACTGGGGTCCCTCCTCCATACCAGGTGACCTCCACCCCTATGAAGGGCATCTCTAGCACCCTGAGGGTCCTGCTCCCTGTACAATTCTCAGAGTGCATCTAGCACAGACAAGCCTCAGTCATCTTGCATTGCCTGGGATAAGTCAATGACACTACAGTGACTGATCCTGTGGGTAGTTACAGATCTAGGAGGGGCCTAAGCACTGGAATATGAAGAGCCTCACTTTGCCCCCAGCACCTGTCCCAGCATCCTATCATTAGAACTGCCCTCCTTGGGTTTCAGCACTGCTGATCTCCTCAGAAAAGATACACTTGATTGTGTTACAAAAATAATAATCTCATTATTAGAAAAAAAATAAACAAGAACATCCCATCTCTCTCATTTTAAAATGTCAATCCCTTTCTACCTGAGGGTGGACAGTGGCTCCCTCCTTCATGTGCAGGTGCAGAGGTCTGGCTCCCAGGTATGTAGGGTGGGGTACATGTGGGTTCAGGGAAGGAAGCGAGGAATGGGTTTTTTCTACAAGCTAGGTCTTGTGCTCCCCAGCTGAATGTGCAAGCAAAATGCTCCTCCCTGTTCACCTCAGATCACCAGTGCCCTTCAGCTATAGGGGAACCCCTGTTCCAGCAGTGATGGCTGAGTAGATTCAATCACCTGGGTGACTGGATTCCCCAGGGGGCAGAGCAAGTGCTGCCCAGGATCTCCCACAGACCTTTGGGTAGGGCCCCAAACCAGGAGGTAGGTGGAAAGGAGATCCAGACAGGGCAGAGGAACCCAGACCCCTTGAGCCTACAGGCACTGGGGAATGTGCTAGAGGGATGCACAGGCTGAGGGAGGGAAGTGGCTTGATAGAGGTGGGAAAGAAAGTCAGCTGGAGAAGGCACCTGAATTGGCTGCAAGCTCAACGAGGCTCTCCAGCAGTCCTGGGGGAGTGGCCTGACCCCAGCCTCAGCAAGGGCAAGGCCATAGGGAGTGGGATGAGCTGGGACCAGAGGTTCAGGCCTGGAGAACTGGCCTGTACAGCTGCCAGAGCACCCAAGGGATATGAAAGATGGAGGAACAACCAGAGTCAGGACCAAACCTGTGAGGTTGCAGGCTCTGAGCACCAGAAGAGGATGTTGAATGCTCCTGCCAGAGTCCAGAGCTGCAGGCCAACTGGCATTGGAGGACCAGGGGCCTGGGCAGATAGGTATAAGTAGCTCCTGGGGGAATCCAGGCTCTGACTCCCACCCACCTACATACACACCTTGTCTCCCCTAGAACCCCACTTCTGATCTAGAAAGCCTTGATGCTGAGTGTGGGTGCATGATTGTACATAGTCACTCAGTGGTGTCTGACTCTTTGAGACCCCTTGGACTATAGTCTACCCGGCTCCTCCAGCCATGGATTTTTCAGGCAAGAATACTGAAGTGAGTTGCCATTTTCCTTCTCCAGGGATCTTCCTGACCAGGGATCAAATCTGCATCTCCTGTGTCTCCTGCATCGCAGGTGGATTCTTTAGCTGCTGGTAGGAAAGAACCACTATTTATCCACAGGTGACTGGGCCCCAGCTCTCTCAACACAGAGGCTCCAGAAGTCATTCTCACCCACTGAGACACCAAAAGGCGAGAAGAAGGTGGATGGGGAGGGACTGAAATGTTTCTGGAGAAAGAGTACAACAGGCTCACTCCCTGACATGGAGTGAGGCGTGGGAAGGAATTGGAGACTTATGGTACTGAGCCAGGCAAGGGGGTTCTTTTCCCAACTCAGGGGGTTCCTTGAAGAAATTCTCTGGAAACCTAGTCCTATGGGGTATCTGAGGGGAGCTGGGGTTGATGGCCCCTTCCTGAGGATCCTCTCCACACTCCATCTGTGAGTGGAGAACCTGAACTACCACGTTTCCCAGGAACTCCTAGTGGCAAGGTGTCACCTGTCTCCAGTCCAGGACTCAGCAGTTTGTGCCCAGACCTGCACATCCCCCAACACCCAAGGTCACTAATCCCCAGAGCTGCTGAGGCCAAAGGGAGACTGACAGTGTGAATTGAGCTGGGCCTTGAGTTGCGGGGGCCTTTTAGATCCCAGGAAGGGCTGGATCAGTACCTAGGGTTTGTCTGTGTTCAGCCACGGCAGAGCGCGAGAGCTCCTGAAAAAGCAGTTTAGGTCATCTCCCTGCCCTCTATCTTCTGAGTTCACCCCACACCTCCCAAGTTAAGGTTCTCTGATCACTTTACAAAAAGGGTGAGGGTGGGGGCAAAAGAAAGGCAGAGGAAATTCTCAGGGTTCCTAGTGTCTTGGCCAGGATGAAATGTTCAGAGGGTGGTTGGAAACTAGCGGTGAAGGTGAAGGCAGCAGGCGCAGGACAATGGCCCCCCCGACCCCCACTGTCAAGTGAGGAATCCGGGATCCTTGAAAATTTCCACAAGGCAGACTCAGAACTTCTGGAGCTCTGCGTCCCACTTAGCCTGCAGAAGGGTCCCGGCAGAGCCAGCGTTTCAACCTGCCTGCAGGCGTGCGCATGTGTACACACAGACACACATATACACACACGCAGCAAGGCCGATCTTACTGTATAGGATCCAACCGCGAGGTCCACACCTCCCGCGCGGAGCACTGGCGCTCCCAGCCTTCCTCCGCTGGGATTCCAGGCAGGCAGACCAGCAGGGCAAGGGAAGGCGCCCCGTGGCCCCGCAGGACTCGCTTCCTGGGAGGGCAGCTGGAGCTAGGGTGCTAGGCGGCCCCCGGTTCAAGAGCCTGAGTTTAGGGGCCGCCCAGGCTCCCGGCCCGGCTCGGCCAAGGTCTCTGCTGGTCTGGAGAGGAGGTTGGTGAGGAGATCCAGCCCACCCCCACCCCACATCCACACCTACTGTGCCTCAGCGCGCAAAAGCGCTACTTTCCTCACTGGATCCCTGCGCACACAATCACGGAGGCCGGGACCCGACTTCAAAGGCTTGCAGTGTAGCGAGGGCCGGGACTCCTGCGGGATGCCAAACCTCAGACTGCCAAGAGGGAAGGAGAAGAAAGAAGAAAGAGCGGGAGCGGAAGACTGCGAACTCCCTAGAGTTCGACTGGAGCTGGCCTGTAGCCCCCTCCCATGCTCCTTGCCGGGCTCTCCCCGCAGACAGGAAAGGGGAGGCGGCCCGACTTCCATGGACACGGGATCACGGGAAGCCACCGGCATCTCCGGGAGAAGGACCCGGCTGCCTCGGGAGTGAGCGCACTCCCGAAAGCCCATCTACGGCCTTTGAAGAGGACGCCGGAACGGAGACCCGAATTACTGGCACAGAAAGCCACCATTCATGAAATACAATTTAGCGGAGTGAAGACAAACAAAACCCGGTATGGTTCAGCAGGTGGCTGGCCCATTTTTCTTAGAACAGAAACTCGGGCCTCCTCCCATGAGGCCCCAGGGAACAGAGGGGATTTGGGGGCCGGGAAGATTCCCACCGAATGTTTGCTTTCTGCTTAGAATTTTTCTACACCGGACACGTCTTGAATAATAAAAATAAACTTGAGAGAATCACGGAGGAGAAAGACTGACGTGCAGAGCGAAGATGACGGACTGGATCAAGCGACCAGCGTGATCCGGGGCTGGGGAGGGAGGCGCCCTGGCCCATCGTGGGGAGGGGAGTTTGGCATCTCCTCTAGACGCCAGTCTCCAGGGGACAAAATGCAAGTGCAGGGCTCCTGGTACCACGCGGCGTGCGTCCTTCCAGCGGGGTTGGTGAGGCTGGGTCACACTCCCCAGAGCCCTTCTGTAACTCTAATCCTCCTTTCTCCCTCTCTGAGAGTATGGGCACCACAAATTCTCGGCCTGGCAGCGGGTGCGTGCTGCTCTCGCTCTGCACACCCTGCCCTACACCCTGGGCTCCAGCCGCGCTCCCCTCCCCCACCCAAATTACCTTGTAGCAGAGTTTCCTTCCTTCCTTCCATCCGTCCCTCCTTTCCGTTAGTAAGGACCAGCAGGCCTTTACCCCTGCCCGCCCCCTTTACCCTTCTTTTTTCCTGTCCCAAACCCTGCCGGGAAGCGCCATTAGTCACCCAATTAAATAATTGGTGCGCCCCGCCCACTTCGCTTTCCGTTGGGAACTTTCGAGATTGGACACAGACACACACTCAACCGCTCACATGCACACTTGACATCCATTAAGGCTCACACGCTCACTCATTCATTCACCCGCTCCTCCGGCTCCGGGAGTCTTGCAGGATGCGCGAGCAACGCACTCGGCCGCCCCACTGCCACTGGCCCCCTGCACATCCACGGGCGCGGCCCCCAGACGCTCTTGATCGGACCCCCGGACACAGCAACGCACCCTTGCTCACAGCAGCACGCGGCGCACAAAAGGGAAGCGGCTGCTGTTCTAGCGTTTTAGGGGAGGGGTCAGGGCCCTCCCCCGCACGCGCACACACGTTTGCACACACATCTTCGCTGCGGTCTCTCAATCTTTCTTCCAAGCCCCTTTCTGAGTCAAAGGAAGGGAAATCCGGCCTGGCCTCTCCTGGCACTGTCAAAAGAGAAGATGGACTCAGGAGAACCCTGGGAACCTCACAATGCGCTTGGGACTCGGAGGGTCCAGGGACCCCACTGCTCGGCCTGAAGGCCAGCTCGGCTTTCAGCCGCGCTCACCTCCGCTTTTCCCCCTCTCCCTGGCCTAGCGAGGCGGGCCGGGACTCGGAACTGAGGAGGGGAGACCTCCGCGGGTCCGAGAGTGGGGGAATGGAGGGGCCAGGGAGATTTTTCACCTTTGTCCCAGTCTAGGGGTGCGATCCCGCTTCTGAAGGCCTCTGAGCCGCAGGGTCTCGGGTCTTTGCAGCCTACCACAGTCTCAGCCTCACTCGACCCTCCCGGCTACTAAACCCGGCTATGGGTCTGCAACCAGTCTTTTTTCCCCGGCGAGTGCAGACCGTCCCCTCGCCCCCTTGCCTCGCCGTCTCGGGTTCTTTTACCACACTCTTGGCCTTGCTCCGCCAGGAGCGCCGGGAGGGGGCTATGTTCCTGAGTGTGGGTGGAGGTATGAATCTGGGGGGTGGGGCCACTGAATCCCAGGCCTGAGCCCCCAGCCCCAGCCCCCTACCCCGCCAAGTACTCGAGCAAGGCCAACCTCCTGTTTTCTGCTCGGTCTCGCCGGGGTCGCCTTCCTGGAACACTTTGGTTATTGATTCCGCTGAAAGAGCCGGAGTGCGGAGACTGCGCTTCCCTGGGGACGAAGGGAGTGGGGAGGGGAGCAGGCTGGTGGTTGGGGGAGGGAGTTGATAAACTTTAGGAGGGATGCAGGGCGTTCCTCGGTACCCCAGGGCCTCCTCGGCCTCCCTCTGCCGGGCTCCGAGTGCGGCTAGATTAGGGGTGGAAGAGGAGGGCCGACGACCCCCCACCCCCAGCGCAGCTCCGTAGCGCCGCTGGGAGTCGGAGAACCCCGACTCGGGCCCAATCAGCAGAGAGGGGTGGGGCGGCCGGGCGGGGGCGGGGCCAGAGTGAGCGCGACCGCGGCCCCGCACGCCAGGAGTCGCGGAGCGGGCGCGGCGGGGACGGTGGCGGAGCACAAGACTCGACCGCTGATGCGGGCGGCCGCAGCCCCAGGGAGATTGCCGGGACCTCCGACTCCAGCCCTGCGGGCTCCAGGGAGAGCGGCGCCGACAGCGACGGGCAGCCGGGGCTCGGCGAGGCAGACCACTGCCGCCGCATCTTGGTGCGAGGTAAGGGGACGGCTCGAAGCCCTGGCCCACTGAACTCCCCTCCCTTGCCTCTCCGGGGCCTCCGACCTTCCTGCAGCCTCCACCTCCCAAGTCCTATATTCATTCAGACGATCGTCGTCCAGTCATTCATTCAGCAAACATTATTTTGAGCGTCCATTGTGTGCTGGACATTGAGCTGAGTGCAGGGGACAAAGCGGCGAGCGGTACGGGAGAGATTCCCGTTTCACTACCCTGAGATGCTCAGCTCTCCAGTCTCACCCGGGCGGGTTACCGTGGCGGGGGCCGAGATGAGAGTGCGGGATGCGGAGAGCCGAGTCCCCGCCCCGCGGCCCTCGCGGCGGGTGCGGAGAAAAGCGTCACGAGCGCTCCGCGGGGTCGGGGCGAGGAGGGACCAGCGCCCGGAACCGCGGGAGGAGAAGGCCCGGGCTCCGCTCAGCTGCCGGGCGCCTCCCCGCTCCCTGCCCAGCCCCGCTTCCCGGTCCTGGCCTCGCAGGCGCACGGGCTGCTCCCGGGAGACGGCACCGGAACGCAGAGGGCGGCGTGCGCCGCGCTCGCCGACCGGGGCTTCGCTCTCGCGGTTCCCACTTCCTCGCGGCGCCTGGGCCCAGCCGGCTCTCGGCGCGGCCTTCTCACGGCCTGGCTTCTCGCGTCTCTCCGATTCGCCCTCGCCCTTCGCCCTCCTCTCTTCTTTCCCGGCCATTTCCTCCGCCGAGCTTGCCTTACCCGCCTTCCCTTCCTGCAAGAGTCCGAGTGCCCGGCTCTGCCTGGCTTCCTCGCTGAGAGGCTGCGGCTTCCCCGGCCCCCACAGCCAGCCTCACGCCCAGCTCTAGGCTCGCCTTTCGCCGGATCCGGGCCTCGCCCAGCAAGATAGGAGAAGAAAGGGGATTCCGAGGTCTTGCCTTAAGCCCGTCCCTAGGCCGCGGCGAAGCCCGAGGTCTGTTTCCTCCACCATCCCAGAGTCCCGGACTGGGAGACCCAGCGGAAAGAGGCCACTCGAGGGGAGCGGCTGCCCCCGGTTCCTCCCGCTGCCTTTTTCTTGCCCTTTCTTTTTGATCGCTTCTCTTGCGAGCCTGAAGGCCTAGAAGGAAATCAGCCGGAGCTGATTTCCTCGGCCACCGCCTAGGGAAGGGAAACTAGCTCCAGGACCCCCGAGTTTGATCTGGGCTGGGCCGTGTGTGAGCTACCCACACACAGACTGAGACACCTTGGCCTGGTCGCTCACGGCTTCCCCACAGCTGCTGAGTCTGGGTGACTCTGGGAATGGGGCTACAGGCACAGCATGGAGGCAGCCCAGTGTGAAGTTGCTTGGTGACCATCCCGGACACAGACTCGGGGACCCTGGTCTTCAGGAAACACAGGAAGCTCCCGGCCAGGTAGAGTCGCTCAGTGCCGATCCGGGGCAGGCTTTGGGGGTCAAAGGAGGTGGTCCCCAGCCAACAGGTGTGTGGACCTCTTGGGCACTTGGGATTAAATTAGATCCATTCCATAGACTGTGGGGTGTCCTGTGTACAAGGCGTTAGCAGCCAGTTTGGAATTCCGTTAAGGAAATCTGCAAGGCTTCCAGAAACAGAGAAATCAGCCTCCTAAACCCACATTCCCAGATTAAGGACACTCACCACCTCACACTTCATCTGTGGGTTTTTCATTTCCTTCTGCCTGAACAGTTGTAGTTCTGTGCCCACCTACCATCCCTTCTGCTCTCACTCCGTGCAGATGGAATAGATTTTGTGTCCGCATGCGATGACAGATAACTCCCAGGTGTTGACTCATAGAAGGTAGGATCAAAAATGATGCCCTCCAAGAGACCACCCACTCTAGGAGCAATCATGGACCCCCTGCTGGATGTGGGGCAGCTAGTGTGCACATCGGCTGTACTTTCCCAAATTCATGTAGGTGATACAGCAGCGCCACTGCGCTTAGACAACAGAATGAAGAGAGTACAGAGGAGGTATTTATTCACTTAAAAGAATAAAAGGTAAATGCAGGGCCCGCGTAAATCTCTCTGTCCTTTTCCATTTAGCGACAAGGCGGTTATTACAGGCCTCAGATACCAGGGACGTCATTTACCGCTAATCCCTCCTAGCCAGAGTCACCTGCGTCACTCCGGGCCCCACTGGGCCCAGGGCAGAGGCCCAGCACTGGTGAAAGGAAATCCACAGCACCCTGGTCCCTCGCCCAATGAGCTCTAAGCAGACAGTACATTTTGCCCTTGACCTCCAAGGATCTATCCTCCTAAAGTACCCGTGGAGGAAACCAAACAGTGGGGGAGAGTAGGCGGTTAGTGTGTCTGCTGTTAAGTTGCTGGCAAGGTGAAGGTTCTGGGAAAGAGCCCCACTCTCTCTGAGTCTTTTTTTCTGCCTTCTTCCCACTCTGCCCTTGCTCCCTTGAGGGCTCCACCCCAAGATAGCAAACCTGTTGAGGGAGTCCCAAGACGCAGAGGAATAAGAGGAAGGCCTGGTGCTGGAATTCCGTGAAACTGATTTGGAATACAAGGCTTATAGCCCTTTGAACTTCAGCTAGTTTCTTTGCCTTTCTGTGACCCAGTTTCCTCATCTGAACGAAGAAAGCATAGCTCTTCCCTTGAGTGCCTGTGCTCAGGGTCAGAGATGTTGTCGATAAAACTGCAAACAAGCAGCAGGATCTCCATAAATATTCTGTGGAATGAGAAGGGTAGGAGCTCCTAGGAGACTAAAACTGCTTCAGGCCGTGGGCCTCCTTCCTCAGAGGCCTCCCCCACCGCAACCCCTGGCCCCAGAGGCTGTGTGAGCAGCCAAGGGGACGGGAACTGGCTGATGGAAGGAGACCCAGTGCCACCTTGCAGACACACAGTGCGGCCTTCCCCAATCCCCTTCGAGGAACCCTCGCACAGCCAATCACAGAAGTTTCCCTGCCCCTGCAAAATGTGGGTCAGGGAGCCAGGAAGGCCGACCTGCCATATCCCCTTCCTCAAGATGGAGGCCGCTTCACGCCACACAGGGGCACAAGCAAGGCTCCGAGATAACAGGGGTGTGCACACAACAGGCACCCCAGACACTCCACTGAGGACACAGCTAGGCTTCCACAGGGGCATTTGGAAAAGACAAGCCGTGGGCAGGAAGCAGGTGGAAAGAAAGCTGCAGCTCCAAGTTCACTGCGGTCTGAGTGGGACTGCCTTTTTGGTGGAGCCGGGATCCCTTCAGTCAAAAGAGGGGGGGACAAGTCTCACCCCAAACTCCCAAACCTCACAGTCCATGCTCTGATTTGCACATTCAGATGCACTTAGGTGATTCTCAAATGGACTCAGAGTCTATTCAGCAACGCTTCTGGACAGATCCGGGAATGGCCGTCCACCAGCCTCACCCACCCAGCAGATGTTAAGAACAATGCCTAGCGCTGGTCCCAGCACACACAAAGCGTTCCTCTGACCTGCCAGTCTCAAAACCCCATTCTGGCCTCCTCAACTCTGCGCTGCCACCTGGGCCTGAGTCTGCAGAGTTCAGAGGTGACCCCAGTGCACTCCCACACCTTGAGACCTGTGACATCCTGGGCCTGACTCAGCACCCCTCTGTCTGGCAACAGGCGGACAGGAAAACTGCAGGAATCCTCGGACTGAGTGAATTACTACTCCCCTCACCCCTGCAGCACCAACACCCACTAGCAGAAATGCTTTCGCCTGGGATCCTGATAGATGTGCCCAGGGCCTCTGGCTATGGCTGAACAATTCCTTCTGTGGATATGAGTTTGGAGCAAGGGGTGATTGAATTTAGCAGGGTCTAGCTCCCTGAGAATTGAGGGCAGTACTGGATCGGTGCTGCAGAAATGTATTGGTGGAAATAGCACAGTGGCATACACCAGGCAGAGCCTTGGACGCTGCGGACCTGTTTGAGGATGCTGGGCAAGGGGCCAAGCCTTTTGGGGGCTTGAGCTAGTAGCAACCCAGGGAACAGTCAGACCCTTTCTGCAGCCAGGGCTGGACTCAGCATTGAACGGCATCACCTGCTTTCCAGTTGGATTTGCAGCAGTCCCAAGACCCAGGATGACTCGACCTGGACCTGGCGTCTTCAACCCCCACCCAAGTCATGGCAACTCCACGAGGGCACACCTGCCAACCGCACCCCCCCCCAGCCCCAGATGGGGTGTCTTGGCAATGGAGTCGGTGACCCAGAGTGTGTATTGGAAGGAGCCGCTGGATTGCAAGTCCCTGTGTCTGGGCCCTCCCAGCACCAGACTTCGGCACTGAGCCTCGACATAAGTCTGTTAAGAGATAACCGACCATTCCTCCCAGGCAGTGGTTGAAAGCTTTAAATGATTCATGCAGGGGGTTGTGCTTTGGGGGTTTGGGTTTTGGTTTTGGTTTTATTTGGGGAGCTTGTGGGGAGTATTAGGTTTCTTTTTTATTTTCCTAGGATTGTTTTCATTTTATGTTTGTTATGTTTTTCCTTTTGCTTTGTTTTTGGCGGAAGGACCCACATTCTCACGGCGGGTCTAGGTATACCCTATCGTTTTAGGTCTTTATTTTTTCTTGATATCCATGCTTCCACCCCACCCACAAGACACACACACCCCCAGAAGCAGACCTGCAGACAAATGCGTCGTCTTGTTGGTGTGTCTTGCGTGCGCACTTTCATTTTCTGGGAGCTGTGAAGGGCCTTCCGGGGCTCCTCCGGGGCTCAGCGAGTGCTGCCGCCCTGGCTGGTCTCTTGAACTCGGGTGCCTGTGGACCCGCCGCCAGCATCCCGCGCGCAGCAGACACGCAGACGCGCGCCCGCGCGCGCCTGAAAGGTCAGAGCTTCTAGGTGGCCCCCGGGTGACCCAGCCGGGCAGAGAGGCCGGGACAGTTGTTGGGTACTAGGAACTGGAGGGGAGGGAGCGGACTGCCGCAGCGTGCGTCCCTGGATCTTTGTTCGGCTGCACAAAACGCGTGGAGTCTCCGCACAAGCTGGGCACCCCCTGGAGCTAGACAGGGCTTCTAAGGCTCGCGTTGGCTCGACGCCATTTCCTCAATTACCCCGACTCAAGTC